AAATAACTCATTGAAATTGTTATTAAGAAAAGAGAAAAAAAAAGTATTTATTTATTTTAACTACCCTGATTAAGTTCACATCACTTGACTTATAGTATCAAACTCAGCTAAAGATTTATAAATGTACTAAATTTTGACACATCCACTATATGGATAAAAAAATTGTTAATTAAAAATAATTTTTTTTAAAGGAAGTAACTTTTTTTGTGGTTAGCTTTTTTGAAATGATAGTAAAAAAGTTTGTTTCAGATTTGATTTTTTTTTTAATTTTTATTTGTTAAAATTTGTGATATAAAATTTTTAGAATCCTAACAAAATTTCTTTTTTCCTTTTTGCTTATTATTCATGTTAATAATTTTCATTAATTTTCATTAATTACTTTATAGCCAAAAAAGAAAATTTTTTATTTTATTAAAAACTTTTTATAAATACTCTAATACGTTGGTAATATTTTAAAAAAATTTTCATCTAGATATTTTATAGGCATCACTACTTGAAATACCTTAGAATCTTACCTTCGGATAAAATATCCCTTTCTTATATTTTTTATTATTTTTTGTTATTATTTTTAAATTTAAGAATATAAAAATTTAAAAGACCATTTTCCTTTTTTTTTATTATTGTTATCATTATTATCCTTAGTTATTATTTTTTATTAATTATATTATTTTATAAGGTTAATTTTAATTTTAATAAAATTATCAAAACTTTAAACTATATTTTTTATTTTTTATTTTTATTTTCACTTTTACTAAAAAAACTAAAATTTATTCTAATAAATTTAAATATTTTAACATGCATAAATACTAATGATAAAATTCAAAATAATACATAAAATATTCAAATAATAATTCAAAAACTTCAAAAAAAAAACTTAAACTGGATCGATCAATGGTTCAATCAACTTCTATCTAGGCCAGTCAATGCTAATCTGGGCCGATTCAATTGAATCGGTCTGACCTAAAGGGGGAACCGAGTCCTGGGTCAGGTTACAGGTCCATTGCAGATCTTGGGGTCCTAAAATGACATCATTTTGGCCCATAGGTCTCCTATATAAAAAGCTTCAATTTTTTTCGCTCATTTTTCCCCTTTTTTCTAAAAGAAAAATTCAAAATTCTCTCAACCCAAAACCTAAAGGGCCAGCTTGTTGCCAGAAGCTAGCACCAACCATCGTGTCAACCATCATATGGTGGTTAACGATCGTCCCGCCAGTTGTCGAAAATGTTTAAAAAAAATAAAAGATTCCTCCAAGCCCCTTCTACCCCAGTTTTACTTCCGTCTTACCTATAAACCAACCTACAATCCTAGACAAAAAAAAAACCCTTTGGCTTCTTTAAAAAAAAATTCAAAATTTTTTTTTGTGTTTTTGCATTTTTTTTATGTTGCTAGGTTCCCTTCCTATAGGGACAGTGTTTTCTTTTTGTATTTTTTGTTGGCAATGGCTTTTCATTTTTTTTGGACAGGATGTTTCTTTTTTTGTTTTTTTGGTTTGCTTTCCAACAATTGCTTTCAAAGTCTTTGGGTGGTTTTTTTTTTCTTTTAGGGCAAAGTTTCTTCTTTTCTTTTTATAAAGTCTCCTCTCCCTCTTCCTTTGGTTTGCCACCACAGAACTTTACTTATAAAGCTCCAGTTGCAACCTTCTACCATGAACGGTGTGGCTCACAGGATTCCAAGGGTGCAATTATAGGGTATGGGGGTTAGCGGTTGGGTTTTAGGGGGTTCAGGGGAGTGGGTGGCAATGGTGCTGTGCACGGCACCCACTACCACTGGCTCTTTTTTTTATTTTTTGTTTTTATATTTTTTTGTTAATGTTTAATTAATAGTAATGTATTTTAATATTAAAAATACAATAAAAGTAAAAATAAAAAAGTAGGTTTGAGCCTAAAAATTGAAATTGGGCCCTAAGCCCTATTGAATCAAAATCGAACCTCAGTCCGAGAACTTGAAAAACCTGATGAATTTTAAACTGAGACCCAATTAAAATCCCAGACAAATTTGGTGTCTATAGCTAATTGAGCTAAACTACATTAAATTGCTAATTTTTGTGTGATTAATCAATTGTTTAATTATGCTTCTACTTGCTTGATTGTTTAATTGGATTGGAAATTTTCACCCTACAACTAAAACCAAAGTTGTTATGATTCTAATAATATTTAGGGTCAATACCATAAATAGCCCTTGACCCTAATTTAGAATTTTTTTTAGTTTAGGTCTCGCATTAAAAAAAATACAATAACTCAAGGGCTATTTAAGGTTTATCCTTTATATTTAAAGGTTATATATACTTCAAGTTGTTTTGGTACCAATTTTAAATTTTTAAAATGAAATTTCAATCAAAATCTAATTTGCAATAAGAGATATGATTCTTGTAATATTTATGTATTCGTTATATTCTTTCAACGTAACTTATTAGTGAACTTTTACTTTCATCCTCAAAGAGATAACAAATGAGGATAGTGCATATAGATCATATTAAACTTTAGGATAAGGGTAGCATTTCACATACTATTCGCGTTATTGCAACATTGAAATTAGTTAATCATAACAACGAATTATGTAGGAGTCCACCACTTAAACTTGTGGGTTCTATATGATTGCTTTATGAACCATACAATAAGAATTATAATTGATTAATTGTCGATAGTATGATTTGTATGATAGGCATCCAACTTAAATCAATTGAGTGCAAATTTCATATTTAAGCTCGAATATTTGGGTATTTGTGAAAGCTTATGATAATTATAATACAAAGAACAGAAAATAGGAACTATTTTTACTAAAACATAGTAAATAGTACCCGTAGTCTTTAAATTTTGGACTATATATCATTTTGGTTCCTATACATTCAAATGTCACTTGTTGATCTCTAAACTTTCAACGTTGTATCAAAATAGTCCTTCCATAAAAAATTCCACTAAATATGACTTAAAGATTAGTTAGCACTATGTGTCAAAGTAAATGGTCAACAAATAGATGCTAAAATTATGTGAATTTTTGTGTTTAAATGTAATTTTAAAAATCTATATTATATAAAATAAAAAATTAAAATTATAAAATTTATTTATTTTACATTATAATTTATTATCTAATTTTTTAAATTTAAATTTTTTTAATCTATTTTGTATATTTTAAATTATAAAACTAGATCAAATGTATAAAAAATTATATTTAAAAATTAAAAAACAAAAACTTACTGAAAATATAAAAATTATTTAGTTTGAACTATAAAATTTGATAAAATGTATTAAAGCTATATTATATTTCAAAAATAAAATTGTGAAAATTTTTATTTTCACTCATCAAGCTCACATGTCTCAACTGCATGGCAAACGCGTGTTGCCGACAAAATGTTTAGCGATGGAGTTAGCATAGTTATTGACAGATGGACTATTTCGTTACAACATTGAAAAATGGGAGCCAACAAGTGACTTATAAAAATATAAAAATCAAAATAATATTTGGCTTAAAATTTAAAAATCTCACATGTTATTTATTCAAAAAAAAAAAAAGGCCAATATGTATTGTGGAGGAACTCAAAATTTTGATTCTAATAGAGTCGGGATGGATGTAGTAGGCCAGAATTAAAATATAATAATTTTAAAATTAAAATAGTACTGAAACACAAAACTCAAATACAAAAGAAATGGTTCATCAGAAATAACAAAATTTCATTTTGATGAGTAAAATATATTTAAATTTACAAGCTAGGTTGTATACTTGTATTTAGATGAAGAGAACTTTTATTATTTAAAGATTAAGAGGTTTTGAATTTGTATAGTACGAATAGCCTTTAAATGGAGAGATTTAGACCTCGCTTAGTATTGTGTTGAAAATAATTTTTACGTTCAAACTTTAGATATAATTTTAATGTTAAATAAAAAATATAGTTTTTCAATTTAAAAAACTGATTTATAAATTCAAACAAAAAATTTCTTGATAGATATTTTTGCCATTAAAAAATGTGTTTGAAATAAAAAAATTACTTTATTATTATTATTATTATTAAACATTTCAATTACTCATAATAATTTTTCATGATAACACTAAACACTTAAAATTTTTAATTACACTTCTTTAATCATATTTTTAAACACTTTTTTTAACCCAAACTTTATTCAATCGCGAGGATAATACTAAACTAGGCCTTAGCACCTTACCTATCTCAGTTTATGAAAACAACAAATTGAAAAGGTCCAAAATAAAAGCTTGGCTTATTGCAGAAGAGCATGGGTGCTCATTAATCGTGATGACCAAGACAATGCTAAGGCCCCAAGTCTTGACCTCAATATCCTATCATAGTCTCTGTTGTCTTAAGTGTTGACGAGTTCGTAGTGTGTATAGAATTCTATTTAAACAATGCTTTATGCAGACTCAATTTCTTCAATAGTTTATGTTACCTGTTTTGATATACAAAGATCCCACCACAGCCATGGTTATGAGAAAATTCCATTTTCTTTCGCCAGCTTTAATGTTCATTTTGATTTTTAAGTAATTTTACTAATTAAATTTAAATTACTTTGATTTGTACAATAACTAACTCAAAAGTTTTTAAAATATTATAAATTACTTTTTCTTTGACAAAAAAAGATAGAGCCATTACTATTTTGCAACTCTCTCTTGTAAAACGTGGAGTCATGGGGCCTTAAAAAGTGTACAAGACAAAAAATTAAAAGAAGAGAGAAAGAAAAAGAAGGAATACAAGAAGATAAATTAGTTTCACCAATGCTTGTAAAGGGAGATCAGAAGAAAATTAGAGGGCCCAAAATCAAAAGCTTGGATAATTTATAAATTGTGAAGACCAAGACTATCCCAGGACTTTCCTCTTGAAGGCTAGTCATAATGGCGAGTTGATTCTTATTTAAGAATTGCTTTGAGCAAACTTCCTTACCCATCCTGCAATTTCATCGATTTGCTTTCCTTCCACATCCATGAACATGAGAATATTCCAATTTCTTTCGCTAGCTTTAATGTTCATTCATTGTTTCATGGTTAGCTACGCCATGATTGTGAGGAACCTTAACACAGACCAACATGCTCTTCTCGAATTTAAGCACCAAATCATTGATCCTCACAACATCTTAGTCAACAACTGGACCACCACTACCTCTGTTTGCAATTGGGTTGGTGTCTCTTGCGCTTCTAAGCATAGGAGAGTCAGCACTTTGAATCTTCCCAACATGGATCTTGCAGGAATTGTCCCTCCACATTTGGGAAATCTCTCGTTCTTAGTATCTCTTGATCTGAGTCACAACAATTTTCATGGCCATTTGCCGAGAGAGTTGGGGCAATTAAATCGTCTGGAACTTATTGAATTAAGCTTCAACTTTCTTAGTGGGGAAATTCCTTCGTGTTTTGGGGGATTAAAAAAAGTTTTATCCTTGAGTCTCCAGAACAACAATTTGACAGGTACAATCCCTCAATCACTAGCTAAAATGTCCAAATTGGAGATCTTGAACTTAAGGAGCAATCTCGTGCAAGGACACATTCCACCCGAGATAAGTGATCTTTGAAATCTAAAGATACTTCGTCTGGCATTTAATCAACTTTCTGGCTCCGTACCTTCAGCTATTTATAACATTTCCTCCCTACATATGATTTCTCTTTCATTCAACAATCTATCTGGTAGTTTACCTGAAGATATATGTCACCATCTTCCAAATCTTGAGACACTTTACTTGGGCTCAAATGAGTTTTCTGGTCAAATTCCATCAAGCATAGATGAATGCAGGTGTCTTCAAAATTTAACATTAGACTCTAACAGATTCAGTGGCAGCATTCCAAGGAGTATTGGAAATTTAACGAGGCTCAAAGTGCTATACTTGGGTGGCAATAATTTGGAAGGTAAGCTCTTTGTTTTTTCTTTGATAATTTTCTTTTGATTGATCACTAACTAATTTTTGTTTCTAGAGAAACATGATTCGAGCTGAAACTCCTTAATTTATGCTACTAAAAATAGCTTTACTTTAACCAAGACTCCAACACAGTTGATTAAGACCACTTTTAATTAGTTGTTGTTTTTTTTTCTTGCTTTTATTTAATCAAAAGGTGCCAAGAAATAGAAGAAAATAGTAAAAATTATAAGTATCTTCTATATATAAAAAGTATCAACTTTAAAAGTGATAAAATACAGTAGTAAAAATTAAAACATTTTTATCTTAGTTATATATATTATTTAAAAGAACGAAATTGGAAAGCATAAATAGTGAACAACATATATATCTTTGATAATTTATTATCTTAGATATTTTATTTATAATTAATATTTTCTTGTTAAATTAAAATATGACTAATTTTATTTATTTTCTTATTAACGTTGAAGCTTTTAACAAAATATACTTTCTTTATTTGATAATTTGAAATTATTGTAAAATAATTACTTTTATATTCTGCTACTTGATCGAGCTCTTGCAAATTGTTTTCTATGTTCACAAGTGAAATGCCTTCGGAAGTTGGAAATCTTCTAAGCTTGGAGATATTTTCTGCCGTAAATATGAGGCTAGTTGGTCCAATACCAGCTTCCATCTTTAACCTTACTACTTTGAAAGAAATTTATCTCTATAGTAATAATCTCTATGGTAGTATTCCGGATAATATATGTTACTCTCTTTTCAAACTTGAGGTGCTTCAAATATCCTACAACGAATTTTTTGGTTGCATTCCATCAAATATTGGTGACTGCAGCAATCTTCAAATTTTATCATTATCTTTTAATCGATTCAATGGGCACATTCCAAGAAGTATAGGGAATTTAACCAAACTTAAGGAGATATATCTAGGTGATAATGATGTAGAAGGTAAGGTTTTGCATTTGATTATTTAGTTTTCAATTGGTTGATATTTATTACTATTTATATTAGAAAAAGAATAAAAAGAAATAACTAAAAAATAAAAATTAATAGCATGACCAACAGGGAAATAGTCATATTTTGGTTTTCTTTTATACTTTTCTCATTTTGACTCAAACTTTTGGTATTGAAAAAATTAATTATTCCTTTATATTTTAAACATTGAAGAAATTAGGAATTTTTTGTGTAATTGAGTTTTAAATGAACTATTTTCTTCCTAGAACTTACATTTATTTTTTCGCATGATATTTTCTTGTGAGTTAAATAGATAAAAATTAAAATATATTATTATTATTATTATATTGGATTAAAAAACTATATTTTAATAAGTGGAGGAGTAAATAATAATAATAATAAACATTACTAATATTTTATAATGTTTTCAAATGTCTACTGTATTATATTTAATTTTTTTATGTTTATATAAAATAATTTTAAAAACTATTTTTAAGACATTCATTTACAAAATAAAAAAAAAGTATTTGATAATATGATAATTTTAAAAAAGTATTTACATTGGAAGGTAAGCTTTTTTTTTTATATATTTTCCTTTGATAATTTGATAATCTATTAAATTAGCTACTTTATTTATAATTAATGATTTTCCTATTAAATTAAAACATGACTAGTTTTATTTATTTTCTTATCAACATTGAAGTTTTTGTCAAAATAAACTTTATTTGATAATTTGAAATTACTGTAAAAGAATTACTTTTATAATTTGGAAAGTAAGTGCTAAAATTAATTTAATTATTGATATCATGTTAAAACTCCTAAATATTAACAGTGACCATGAAACTCATGTTATTTTCTTAGGTAAAATTTCTTGGCTGAAAATAATTTTTTGTATTTTTTTGAAAAATTAATTTAATTTTTGGAAATATTCAGTTTTTAAATTTAAAAAATAAATTTAACTCTTAACCATAAAAAATATTGTAAATTAAATATTCTTTAGTTACATGGCATAAAAAGGTGAATCCTTTTGAATTTTGAGTTGAAATTTGTCGCATGACATGTTTCATTGATTTTTCATTGATGGTTGATGAAATATATGATTTTGAAACAATTTTAGAGGGTTATGGCTATAAACTACATTTTAAAATTTGTGGATGACAACGAAATATTGCACAAAAGTTATATATAATTGGTATAGTTTGCTTAAAAAATGAAAAGAAGGTAAAGGACAAATAGAAAAAATTCAACCAAATGAACTTAAGTTTCTTTTAGGTTTTTCCCCATTATGACTAAAAATTTTGGTATTTAATCTCTTTTGAGATAATGTTTAGAATGAGAATTTAGTTATCTAATTTAATCAATAATCTCATAAAATTAGGAGAAAATGATTTCATAATGAATAGTGATGCGAAGCAAAAAAATGCCTCATGCTGCTTGACCCAGCTTTTGCAATTCGGTTTCTGTTATTTTCACAGGTGAGATCCCTTCTGAAATTGGAAATCTTTTGAGCTTGGAGATATTTGCTGCCCAAAATATGAGCCTTGTTGGTCCAATGCCAGCTTCCATCCTTAATCTTTCTTCCTTGAAAGAAATTAATCTCTATAACAATAGTGTCTCTGGTAGTATTCCCTCAAATATTGATGCTTGCAGCAATCTTCAAAAGTTATCATTATCTTTTAATCGCTTCAATGGATTCATTCCAAAAAGTATAGGAAATTTATCCAAACTTGAGGAGATATATCTAGGTGATAATGATGTAGAAGGTAAGCTTTTGCATTTGATTATTTAGATTTCAATTGATTGATATTTATTACTATTTATATTAGAAAAAGAATAAAAAGAAATAAGTAAAAAATAAAAATTAATAGAATGACCAACATGAAAATAGTCATATTTTGGTTTTCTTTTATACTTTTCTCATTTTGACTCAAACTTTTGGTATTGAAAAAATTAATTATTCCTTTATATTTTAAACATTGAAGAAATTAAGAATTTCTTGTGTAATTGAGTTTTAAATGAACTATTTTCTTCCTAGAACTTACATTTAAAATTTGAAATAAACATTTAATAGGCTGATAAATGTCATTATTAAATTAGTTAACCAAACTACTCTTTTATTTTTCCTTCTTTTATTTTTTTCTCTTTTTTGTTTTTCCCCTTTTCTTTCTTTATTTTTTAATATTTCCTTTTTCCATTTTTTTCAAATAAACAAAAAATTTGATAAAAATAATTTTTTGTATTTTTTGAAAACTAATTTATATATTTTTTGGAAATAATCCATTTTTAAATTAAATAAATAAATTTAACTCTTAACCATAATAAATATTGTAAATTAAATATTTTTTAGTTAGCAAAAAAAAGTGAATCATTTTGGTTTTTGAGTTGAAATTTCAGTCACATGGCATGTTTCATTGATTTTCATTCATGGTTGATGAAATATGTGATTTGAAACATTTAGAAGGTTATGGATATAAATTACGTTTTGTGTTTGAAATGAAATATTATACGAAAGTTACGGATAATTGGGGTATATTTTACTCAAAATGAACAGAGAGTAAAAGACAAATAAAAAAAATCAACCATATGAACTTAAGTTTCTTTTATGTTTTCCCCATTATGACTCAAAATTTTGGTATTTAATCTCTTTTGAGATAATATTTAGAATGAGAATATAATTAACTAATTTAATCAATAATCTCATAAAATTTGGAAAAAATGGTTTCATTATCTAATTTAATTATCTACTTGACCGAGCTCTTACAACTTGGTTTTTGTTGTTTTCACAGGTGAGATCCCTTCAGAAATTGGAAATCTTCTAAGCTTGAAGATATTTTCTGTCAGAAATATGAGGCTAATTGGTCCAATACCGGCTTCCATCTTTAACCTTACTTCTTTGAAAGAAATTTATCTCTATAGCAATAATCTCTCTGGTAGTATTCCAGATAATATATGTTACTCTCTTTTCAAACTTGAGGTGCTTCACATATCCCACAACGAATTTTCTGGTTACCTTCCATCAAATATTGGTGACTGCGGCAATCTTCGAAATTTATCATTATCTTTTAATCGATTCAATGGACACATTCCAAGAAGTATAGGAAATTTAACCAAACTTGAGGAGATATATCTAGGTTTTAATAATATAAAAGGTAAGCTTTTGCATATGATTATTTAGATTTCAATTGATTGATATTTAATACTATTTATACTGAAAAAAAGTATAAAAAAAAATAACTAAAAAATAAAATTTAATAGAATGACCAACACGAAAATAATCATATCTTGGTTTTCTTTTGTTCTTTTCTCATTTTGACTAAAACTTTTGGTATTGAAAAAATTAATTATTCCTTCATATTTTAAACATTGAAAAAATTAGGAATTTTTTGTGTAATTGACTTTTATTGTATTTTAAATGACCTCAATATTATTGGAATGTTTAGAATGTGGATAGTTTTATAATAGTAAGTTGTTGTTCCTTTGTAGGTGAAATTCCATGGGAGATTGGGAATCTTATTTCATTGGAGATATTAGATGCACCATTCATGCATTTAAATGGGTTGATTCCACATGCTATCTTCAACATTTCTTCTTTGAAAATAATTGACCTCCCGAACAATAATCTATCAGGTAATTTTATTATAAACATTTCAGTGCTTTTATATTTTAAATTGTTTACTTTAGTTTCAAAAAAGTTTACTTTAGAATTATAAAACAAATAATCATAAAATTATGAAAACTGTTAAACAAATGAGGTGCCATTGAAAGGCTTGAGAAATGATTTTCTAAACCTTTTTATCTTATTAAATCAAATGCTGTTTCCAATTAAATTAGGGAAAGGCAAAACAAAGACTCAGAGGAATTTGAAAACCAAACCTAAAAATCGAAATTCCATCTTTTGGAAAATATTTTTAATTTTTTAGTAAACGTTTTATGATTGAATGTACCTAAGACTACAAGGTAGGCCAAAGTGGAAAAAAGTTAGGTACCCAACACTTACGATGCCAATATGGCTATTATTTATTATCCCATTGCAATTATATATGGTAAAATTACTTGATTTGTTTTACAATGTAATAAAAAGTAAAATTAACGTACTTTGTTATTTACTCCCATATTTATTTAATACCGTCTTACTTGATTTATTGTTACATCAACTTAAAGTAATAATATAATATTTAATATTTTTATATTTATTTACCTGCAAATATTTAAAATATATATTTTGTGTAATAAAAAATGTAACAATGTATTTCATTACTTTTATATTTATTAATAGTGTGTATCTGCGTGGAGTAGTTTTATTGGCTATATGCGAAATGTTTCATAAAAATTAAATCATATAGATATCATTAAATTGATTAAAACTGTTAAGTACATATTAAAAGGATTATCAAAATTCAAAAGTTCATGATGAGGGATAAATTAAATAAAATTAAAATGAATATATTTGATATTCACCATAACAAAGTTATAAAAAAAAATAATATTCAGATTCTATAAGTATAGTCAAAAGTTAATATGCTGTAATCATACAAAATTCTCCTGAATGTGTTTGAGCTATTTGTTAACTACCCATTTTTTTCCCACTGCATGTAAAAATTTTTAAACTTGAAAAAAAAAAAAAAACCTGAATAGCAAGAAGAAAAGAATGAAAGAAAGAAAAATGAGAAGTAGAAGCAGATAGAGATTCTAGTAATGAAAATATGATATAAAAAAGTACACATAAAAAGTGTATTCTAAATAAAAATTGCATAAAAAATCGTAACTAAAACCTGTATTGCAATGATTGTTTAATTTGAAGTAGGAAGGAAACAGTCTTTCCACATCAATAAAACCAAATTATAAACCTTTTAGTGTTTATTCCCTCAAATATTTTTCTTTTAACACCAATTTAACGTTTCATTAAATTGGAACCGATCCATTTTGTAATTTTTCTATTATTAGCTAATGACATCAGGTCAATTCATTTTTTAGTTTTTCTAAATTTACTATTTATTAACAACATGTAATATTTTATTAAAATTAATATAATTTTATTATTTATTAACAAGGTGTAGTATTATAATAAAATACTAAATTTAAATCTTCTATAATATAAAATTTTTATTGAATAGATAACGTAATTTTAATTTGAGCACTATTATATTACATATAAGTAATAAATTTAAATTTGGAAATTAAAAATTAGATTAAAATTATTATAACATAATATATTAAGTCCACTCTTTTAATACAAAAATTAAGGCTTATACGTTTGCTTAGCCTATATTATTTTTTACTCAACCCGTTCTTTTAAGACAAATGAGTAAAGTTTATATGGTAATTCTGGACCAAACCTATTATTAATTATATTTAACAAAAACCAATTTCAAAAATATATATATTAACAAAATCCATTGTTTTAAAATATAGTATTAATGATTTTTTTAGTCGTACTCCGTTCCTAAAAAAATCAACTTTCAAAATTAAAAGATAAGCATTCTTCACTTATCCAACCACGTGTCAATCCAATTCGCCCTCAACTACCATGCTTTTATCATGGGATTGTTTTAATATAATGTATAGAATTGTCTAAAATTATCTAACTTTTTATTTGGAGCATTTCAATTATAAATTTTTTTATTATAATATTACAGTTATTATCTAATCATAATAAAATATTGTATAGGGATCATCACTTATAAATATGAGTTACATATAAAATTTTGATAAACTTCACACAATTTTAAATTATAATTAATTAATTAATTATATTATAATAATTATACATTATATGCTCTTTTTTTATTATATGCAATAAAAATAAGTGCTACTTTTACCGTTTTTTGTTGTCAAATTAGGGAATTTAACAGTTCTTTTACAAAATAAAAAGCAATAGTTATGTAATTCTTTTTGCTAAGCCATATTTTTATTAGAGATCAAAAGACCATCATAAGTGAAATACAAGAATCTTACCAAGAAACATAGTTAAAGCCATACCAGAAACAACAAAAAAACCACCTAGCACAATTCTAATAAAAGACTTCCATCTAAAAAGAAGAAATCGTTACATCTAAACAAAAATGAAAAAAAAAAAAAAAAATACTACCATGGTCGGTAAACATATAATGGGAGCAAACACCACTATCCCTTACAGAACAAAATCACCACCATGTCTTAAAAAAAAAAAAAATCTCTATCTACCCACCTTTGCCACGACATCTACCATATCATTCAGCTTTTTAAAAAATTTTCATCAAACTGGATGCCCCAATTGATCTCCAAAGCATCGCAATTTTAGAAAATATAGACAACAACTTTCATGGTCGATTATTCTTTTTACTCCAGTTAATAGCCACCATAGAGCCACTTCCATATCCCAAAAGCATACAAATAGCAAACGCTACAACTCCCAATATTAACCTCATATCTACTATCATATCCTTCAAACACAACTTTAAAAATACCTTTTGCCAAATTCCTTAACTGTAGTATTGATAAAGCTTGTAAATAAGACCAAATTCATTAGAACCTTTAAATCGACAAAGCCCTTTTGTATCAGTCTTGATGAAGCTCCCCCAAATCTTGTCTTTCTAAACCAGCAATACGTTAAAATGGAACAATCGTCTTCATTTACAGATAAACCCAATAACTTACTAACTTCCCAAATCTTCTCAGCCTCTTCTAGAAAGGCTCTATTTCGAGAACCAATATCTTCATCCGAGAGTGGTCTTGAACAATGGAAACTAGGGGTGTCTTTATCTGGCGAGACTTGCTTTTGGATCTTTCCAATATTTTGCCTTACTTTTTTTCCTTCTTTTACCTGCTCGAATAGTAACAAGGTGAAATTTATCTTCAACGTTGAAAAGTTTCTCAGCGTCTATATCACTCTTGCTCATAAGCTCAATAGAAACTGGATTTGACTGAAGATCAGTTAAGATATTTCCACCAATAGAATCCCTAAGCGTATCTGATGGGCCATTTGATATCCTAAGAGACGTAGAAGTATCAATAGTTTGATCCACTAGATTGGACTCATCAACCACATGATTCAATTTAGATTTAATTGTGCTGTTTCATCGTTATTCAAAAGAGGTTCTAAAGAAGAATTAATTGCAACACCTGTATTTAACTCCGCATGTCCATAATTGTTCCAAATTTGTCTCATTTCCAAGATCGACATCATATGCTTCTTTAGAATCTCTAGGTGTATCAGCAGTTGCAATAACAATGTTACAATGTTATCTTCATCCAAAGCCATAAAATTACCATCATTTTCAAATTTTAAGTTACTCGGGGAATCTTTTCCGTGAGGAGAGTAAACATCTTCACCGCCATCCATGAAAACTGAGTTGTCCAGGTCTGCATGATCTGTGAAGACTAGTGGAAATGTCAAGAAAGTACCCATGTTCAACAACTTTAATGGAGTAAACAATATCACCCACAGTGACCTTAATCTCATCAAGAATGGCTCTATAATCATTTGTTAAAATCGGGACTCTACCTACATCGAAACGTTTTTTCGTTAGTGTAAAATCATCAAGCTTAAAACCCTCACCCTATAAACTTCCAATGGAAGAGAAACACTTAGAATTCCAAGCGTGAAGTGGAATACCTGACAATCTCAGCCAAATAAGGTTTGAATGGCAAATCTAGCTAGGCTTCCATGGTGTAATAGACGTTAACCAATTTTGAGACCACTCCTGACCAAGTTCCAGAGATAATAACATACTTTCTTTGCTTTCAAAGTCAAAAGATTCATATTCTCACCCATGATAGTGACAGAACAATCATCAAAGTCCTCTGAGAAGATTTGGTTAATGGCATTTATAGTATCAGGATATCTAACTATCCCAACAACATTTCGTTGTTATCTCTCCAAATCTAAATTTTGAGGAATGTAATCAAGGATGTCAAGCGATTTTAAAACCTCTTCTTTTTGACCATCTGATACAATGCTATCCTTTAACTGAGTGGATTTGACAGACATATTAACAACCTCTGCATGAGATCGTCCATCTCTAAAGTCTTCTATGCAGATAACACCTTTTTCCATGTACTGAGTGGTGGGTTTAAAACTAACATGAGATCTTTGATCATACCTTGCCATTTGAACATATAGAGTGGAATACCTCAAGTGCAAACCATTTAGAAATTTTTGGAGACGTAAAATCAACCACCTCCCACATCTGACAAATTGTTGCTTGAGATTAAAGACACTACAACCTGGAAAAATTCCATCAACAAACAGTGTAACAAATTTTTTTCTCCGAAGGTAAAATTCTTGTGTGGCCTTCATAGTATCCAAGAAGAGCTTCTTGACTTACCTTTACTTACCCTCTAAATCGGACTAAGGCAAGGCTTTTCACCCTCTAATAATTGTGTAATCAAAAGCATAATTTTAAAATCTTTTTCATTAGTTTCACATTTTTTGTCATCATAATTTTTTGTTGTAGTAGTAAAATGTATACAGTATTACTCCACAAACCTCAAATGAAACTTCCTCTGTTAAAGTACTCGTAAGGTTCTATCAAACCTTAGGGAAGTAAGAAAGTGATTTTCAAACTAAACGAGGGTACATGTAATTTTAACAATCTTTTCACAGAATCTTTGTATTTTTCTCTTATATTATGCATGTAGTCTAAAATGAAAGAAATTTTATCATTTCTCTTGAGCCTTTTTTCCTAAAATGGCATAGATAAAAATTCTAATTTATTTCCAAATATTCATACTTTCAGATTTTTCTTTTCTCAAACAATTAATGTAAATACACTTTTATTTTTTATTTTCTTCATTTTTTATCTCATTTCTTTTTATTTCGTTAACAATTTCATCAACGAAATTTTCTTTAATCTTTTTTGATATTAAAGCAATTGAGATAGTTAAAGAAAATAAAATTCTCACATAAATGGAAAACATTTTAAGCATATACTAGAAACCTTATATATTTTCTTTTCTCCCGTCCCCTTCCTTTCTTATATCTTCTTTTTTTCCTTTACTTTTCTTTGTCCTCTTTTGTACTTTATTATAGAGCCTTTTAATCATTATAAATAAGAAAAAAAATTTATAAATTATATATATATATATATATATTCCAGATCATCAAACAAGAAACAATTGAAGTTGTTTCATATTTATAATTGTTTCATGTTTCTCCTCATCCACATTTGTAGATGTAAGCATTGTATTCACTTCAGCTTGCATCATAGATTCATGAAAAACACAACAAAGCAAAAAAATTAATTTATTTCTTGTATGGAAAGATGCAAACTGTTTTTTTTTTTTCTTTTAGGTAAATTACCATACACGAGCTCTGC